TTATAGTAGTGCATAGTGCGTGTATAGCGCAGTGTATAGTTTAGACTTTAGGCGATAGTAGTGTAGTATATATTGCAGTGCACTGTATTGTAATGTGCACCAGCAGTGTGTAGTAGTGTATGGGGTAGTGCACCAGCAGTGTGTAGTAGTGTATGGGGTAGTGCACCAGCAGTGTGTAGTAGTGCACGGTGTAGTGCACCAGCAGTGTGTAGTAGTGCACGGTGTAGTGCACCAGCAGTGTGTGGTAGTGTACGGTGTAGTGCACCAGCAGTGTGTAGTAGTGCACGGTGTAGTGCACCAGCAGTGTGTAGTGCACGGTGTAGTGCACCAGCAGTGTGTAGTAGTGTACGGGGTAGTGCACCAGCAGTGTGTGGTAGTGTACGGTGTAGTGCACCAGCAGTGTGTAGTAGTGCACAGTGTAGTGCACCAGCAGTGTGTAGTAGTGCACGGTGTAGTGCACCAGCAGTGTGTGTGTAGTGTACGGTGTAGTGCACCAGCAGTGTGTGGTAGTGTACGGTGTAGTGCACCAGCAGTGTGTAGTAGTGCACGGGGTAGTGCACCAGCAGTGTGTAGTAGTGCACGGGGTAGTGCACCAGCAGTGTGTAGTAGTGCACGGTGTAGTGCACCAGCAGTGTGTAGTAGTGCACGGGGTAGTGCACCAGCAGTGTGTAGTAGTGCACGGTGTAGTGCACCAGCAGTGTAGTAGTGTACGGTGTAGTGCACCAGCAGTGTGTAGTAGCGTACGGTGTAGTGCACCAGCAGTGTGTAGTAGTGCACGGGGTAGTGCACCAGCAGTGTGTAGTAGTGTACGGGTAGTGCACCAGCAGTGTGTAGTAGTGTATGGGGTAGTGCACCAGCGTGTAGTAGTGCACGGTGTAGTGCACCAGCAGTGTGTAGTAGTGCACGGTGTAGTGCACCAGCAGTGTGTAGTAGTGCACGGTGTAGTGCACCAGCAGTGTGTAGTGTACGGTGTAGTGCACCAGCAGTGTGTAGTAGTGCACGGGGTAGTGCACCAGCAGTGTGTAATAGTGTACGGTGTAGTGCACCAGCAGTGTGTAGTAGTGCACGGTGTAGTGCACCAGCAGTGTGTGGTAGTGTACGGTGTAGTGCACCAGCAGTGTGTAGTAGTGCATGGTGTAGTGCACCAGCAGTGTGTAGTAGTGTACGGTGTAGTGCACCAGCAGTGTGTGGTAGTGTACGGTGTAGTGCACCAGCAGTGTGTGGTAGTGCACGGTGTAGTGCACCAGCAGTGTGTAGTAGTGCACGGTGTAGTGCACCAGCAGTGTGTAGTAGTGCACGGTGTAGTGCACCAGCAGTGTGTAGTAGTGTACGGGGTAGTGCACCAGCAGTGTGTGGTAGTGTACGGTGTAGTGCACCAGCAGTGTGTAGTAGTGCACAGTGTAGTGCACCAGCAGTGTGTAGTAGTGCACGGTGTAGTGCACCAGCAGTGTGTGGTAGTGTACGGTGTAGTGCACCAGCAGTGTGTGGTAGTGTACGGTGTAGTGCACCAGCAGTGTGTAGTAGTGCACGGGGTAGTGCACCAGCAGTGTGTAGTAGTGCACGGGTAGTGCACCACAGTGTGTAGTAGTGCACGGTGTAGTGCACCAGCAGTGTGTAGTGCACGGTGTAGTGCACCAGCAGTGTGTAGTAGTGTACGGTGTAGTGCACCAGCAGTGTGTAGTAGTGCACGGGGTAGTGCACCAGCAGTATGTAGTAGTGTGCGGTGTAGTGCACCAGCAGTGTGTAGTAGTGCACGGTGTAGTGCACCAGCAGTGTGTAGTGTATGGGGTAGTGCACCAGCAGTGTGTAGTAGTGCACGGGGTAGTGCACCAGCAGTGTGTAGTAGTGTACGGTGTAGTGCACCAGCAGTGTGTAGTAGTGTACGGTGTAGTGCACCAGCAGTGTGTAGTAGTGCACGGTGTAGTGCACCAGCAGTGTGTAGTAGTGCACGGGTAGTGCACCAGCAGTGTGTAGTAGTGTACGGTGTAGTGCACCAGCAGTGTTTAGTAGTGTACGGTGTAGTGCACCAGCAGTATGTAGTAGTGCACGGTGTAGTGCACCAGCAGTGTGTAGTAGTGTACGGTGTAGTGCACCAGCAGTGTGTAGTAGTGCACGGGGTAGTGCACCAGCAGTGTGTAGTAGTGTACGGTGTAGTGCACCAGCAGTGTGTAGTAGTGCACGGGGTAGTGCACCAGCAGTGTGTAGTAGTGCACGGTGTAGTGCACCAGCGTGTAGTAGTGTACTGGGTAGTGCACCAGCAGTGTGTAGTAGTGCACGGTGTAGTGCACCAGCATTGTGTAGTAGTGCACGGTGTAGTGCACCAGCAGTGTGTAGTAGTGTACTGGGTAGTGCACCAGCAGTGTGTAGTAGTGCACGGGGTAGTGCACCAGCAGTGTGTAGTAGTGTACGGTGTAGTGCACCAGCAGTGTGTAGTAGTGCACGGGGTAGTGCACCAGCAGTGTGTAGTAGTGCACGGTGTAGTGCACCAGCAGTGTGTAGTAGTGCACGGGGTAGTGCACCAGCAGTATGTAGTAGTGTACGGTGTAGTGCACCAGCAGTGTGTAGTAGTGCACGGTGTAGTGCACCAGCAGTGTGTAGTAGTGTATGGGGTAGTGCACCAGCAGTGTGTAGTAGTGTACGGTGTAGTGCACCAGCAGTGTGTAGTAGTGCACGGGGTAGTGCACCAGCAGTATGTAGTAGTGTACGGTGTAGTGCACCAGCAGTGTGTAGTAGTGCACGGTGTAGTGAACCAGCAGTGTGTAGTAGTGTATGGGGTAGTGCACCAGCAGTGTGTAGTAGTGCACGGGTAGTGCACCAGCAGTGTGTAGTAGTGTACGGTGTAGTGCACCAGCAGTGTGTAGTAGTGCACGGGGTAGTGCACCAGCAGTGTGTAGTAGTGTACGGTGTAGTGCACCAGCAGTGTGTAGTAGTGCACGGGGTAGTGCACCAGCAGTGTGTAGTAGTGTACGGTGTAGTGCACCAGCGTGTAGTAGTGCACGGGTAGTGCACCAGCAGTGTGTAGTAGTGTACTGGGTAGTGCACCAGCAGTGTGTAGTAGTGTACGGTGTAGTGCACCAGCAGCGTGTAGTAGTGCACGGTGTAGTGCACCACCAGTGTGTAGTAGTGTACTGGGTAGTGCACCAGCAGTGTGTAGTAGTGCACGGGGTAGTGCACCAGCAGTGTGTAGTAGTGTACGGTGTAGTGCACCAGCAGTGTGTAGTAGTGCACGGGGTAGTGCACCAGCAGTATGTAGTAGTGCACGGTGTAGTGCACCAGCAGTGTGTAGTAGTGCACGGGGTAGTGCACCAGCAGTGTGTAGTAGTGTACGGGGTAGTGCACCAGCAGTGTGTAGTAGTGTACGGTGTAGTGCACCAGCATGTGTAGTAGTGTACGGTGTAGTGCACCAGCAGTGTGTAGTAGTGCACGGTGTAGTGCACCAGCAGTGTGTAGTAGTGTACGGTGTAGTGCACCAGCAGTGTGTAGTAGTGCACGGGGTAGTGCACCAGCAGTATGTAGTAGTGTACGGTGTAGTGCACCAGCAGTGTGTAGTAGTGCACGGTGTAGTGCACCAGCAGTGTGTAGTAGTGTATGGGTAGTGCACCAGCAGTGTGTAGTAGTGCACGGGGTAGTGCACCAGCAGTGTGTAGTAGTGTACGGTGTAGTGCACCAGCAGTGTGTAGTAGTGCACGGGGTAGTGCACCAGCAGTGTGTAGTAGTGTACGGTGTAGTGCACCAGCAGTGTGTAGTAGTGTACGGTGTAGTGCACCAGCAGTGTGTAGTAGTGTACGGTGTAGTGCACCAGCAGTGTGTAGTAGTGCACGGGGTAGTGCACCAGCAGTGTTTAGTAGTGTACGGTGTAGTGCACCAGCAGTGTGTAGTAGTGCACGGGGTAGTGCACCAGCAGTGTGTAGTAGTGTACGGTGTAGTGCACCAGCAGTGTGTAGTAGTGTACGGGGTAGTGCACCAGCAGTGTGTAGTAGTGCACGGGGTAGTGCACCAGCAGTGTGTAGTAGTGTACGGTGTAGTGCACCAGCAGTGTGTAGTAGTGTACGGTGTAGTGCACCAGCAGTGTGTAGTAGTGCACGGTGTGGTGCACCAGCAGTGTGTAGTAGTGTACGGTGTAGTGCACCAGCAGTGTGTAGTAGTGCACGGTGTAGTGCACCAGCAGTGTGTAGTAGTGTACGGGTAGTGCACCAGCAGTGTGTAGTAGTGTACGGTGTAGTGCACCAGCAGTGTGTAGTAGTGTACGGTGTAGTGCACCAGCAGTGTGTAGTAGTGCACGGGGTAGTGCACCAGCAGTGTGTAGTAGTGTACGGGGTAGTGCACCAGCAGTGTGTAGTAGTGCACGGGGTAGTGCACCAGCAGTGTGTAGTAGTGCACGGTGTAGTGCACCAGCAGTGTGTAGTAGTGCACGGGGTAGTGCACCAGCAGTGTGTAGTAGTGTACGGGGTAGTGCACCAGCAGTGTGTAGTAGTGCACGGGGTAGTGCACGGTGCGTAGCCAGCCAGGCTCACCGGGGTGCCGGGTGTCCGCAGGGACGGGGGGAGGGCCGAGTGACGAAACACGACGTGGAGACGTTCGTGCCGCCAGCCACGACAACTCCCACCGTGAGCCACCCGGTGCATCACCCCCACCAGCACCACAACCACCACCCAACCACAACCACCCACCACAACCACCCACCACAACCACCCCCACCGCCATCACCACCACAACCACCCCCACCGCCATCACCACCACACCGTCACCGCCACCACCGCCACCACCACCCCCACCACCACCACCACCGCCACAACCACCACTGCCACCACCACCGCCACCTCCACCAACGCCACCACCATCACTGCCACCACGACCACCGCCACCACCACAACCACCACCACCATCACCGCCACCGTCACTGCCACCACCACCACCGCCACCACCACCACCACTGCCACCCCACCGCCACAACCACTGCCACCTCCACCAACGCCACGACCATCACTGCCACCACGACCACCGCCACCGCCACCACCATCACCACCATCACCACCACCACCACCACCACCGCCTCCAACCCCACCACCGCCATCACCGCCACCACCACCGTCACTGCCACCACCGCCACCACCACACCGCCACCACCACCACCGCCACCTACCCACCCCCCACCACCTCCACCGTCACTGCCGGGCGTGGTGCTGGCCACCCACCTCCTCGTGTGCCACAGTGCCGGTAGCCTTCGTAGGTGCTGTCGCCAACAGCACTTGCCCCACCAGTCTGTTATGGCCACACGGGGATCTTTGTCTCTGTCCTGTGGCAGGCCGCAACGGTCGCGCCCCCGGCCGCCCCTCGCCCCGCCCCACGACGCCGGCCGCCCCCTCGCCGGAGACTTTGTGGACATCCCCGTCACCAACGTGCGCAAGGTGCGGGGGAGGGTGAGGGGAGGGGGGGGAGGGGGGAGGAGGGAGAGGGGAGGGGGGGGGGGGAGGGAGAGGGGGAGGAGAGGGGGGGGAAGGGTGGGGAGGGGGGGGAGGGGAGGGGGAGGGAGGGGGGAGAGGGAGGGGGAGGGGGGGGGGGGAGGAAAGGGGAGGGGGAGGAAGAGGGGAGGGGGAGGGGAGGGGAGGGGAGGGAGGGGGGGGAGGGGAGGAAGAGGGGAGGGGGAGGGGGGGGAGGGGAGGGGCGACGCCGGACCGCCGGCGTTACGCCGATGCCGACACCACGCCGTAGAGACCCATAGACTCACACAGAGACCCATAGACTCACACAGAGACCCATAGACTCACACAGAGACCCATAGACTCACACAGAGACCCATAGACTCACACAGAGACCCATAGACTCACACAGAGACCCATAGACTCGCGTAGAGACCCATAGACTCACACAGAGACCCATAGACTCGCGTAGAGACCCATAGACTCGCACAGAGACCCATAGACTCGCGTAGAGACCCATAGACTCGCGTAGAGACCCATAGACTCACACAGAGACCCATAGACTCACACAGAGACCCATAGACTCACACAGAGACCCATAGACTCACACAGAGACCCATAGACTCACACAGAGACCATAGACTCACACAGAGACCCATAGACTCACGCAGAGATCCATAGACTCACACAGAGACCCACAGACTCACGCAGAGACCCACAGACTCACACAGAGACCCACAGACTCACGCAGAGACCCATAGACTCACGCAGAGACCCACAGACTCACACAGAGACCCATAGACTCACACAGAGACCCATAGACTCACACAGAGACCCATAGACTCACACAGAGACCCATAGACTCGCGTAGAGACCCATAGACTCACACAGAGACCCATAGACTCGCGTAGAGACCCATAGACTCGCACAGAGACCCATAGACTCGCGTAGAGACCCATAGACTCGCGTAGAGACCCATAGACTCACACAGAGACCCATAGACTCACACAGAGACCCATAGACTCACACAGAGACCCATAGACTCACACAGAGACCCATAGACTCACACAGAGACCCATAGACTCACACAGAGACCCATAGACTCACGCAGAGATCCATAGACTCACACAGAGACCCATAGACTCACACAGAGACCCACAGACTCACGCAGAGACCCACAGACTCACACAGAGACCCACAGACTCACGCAGAGACCCATAGACTCACGCAGAGACCCATAGACTCACGCAGAGACCCACAGACTCACACAGAGACGCATAGACTCACGCAGAGACCTATAGACTCACGCAGAGACCCACAGACTCACACAGAGACCCATAGACTCACACAGAGACCCATAGACTCGCGCAGAGACCCACAGATTCACGCAGAGACCCATAGACTCACGTCGAGACCCATAGACTCGCACAGAGACCCATAGACTCACACAGAGACCCATAGACTCACGCAGAGACCCATAGACTCACGCAGAGACCCACAGACTCACACAGAGACCCATAGACTCACACAGAGACTCATAGACTCACACAGAGACCCATAGACTCACGCAGAGACCCATAGACTCACGCAGAGACCCACAGACTCACACAGAGACACATAGACTCACACCGAGACCCATTGACTCACACAGAGAGACCCCTAGAGACCTTCTGTTATTGCTGCTGCTGCTGTTGTTGTTGTTCTTGCTGCTGTTGCTGTTGTTGCTGTTGTTGCTGTTGTTGCTGTTGTTGCTGCTGTTGCTGCTGCTGTTCTTGTTGTTCTTGCTGCTGTTGCAGCTGTTGCTGCTGCTGTTGTTGTTGTTGCTGTTGTTGTTGCTGCTGTTGCTGTTGTTACTACTCTTGCTGTCGTTGTTGCTGCTGCTGCTCGTGCTGATACTGCTGCTGTTGCTTCTCTTGTTGCTGCTGTTGCCGCTGCTACTATTCTTGCTGCTGTTGTTGTTGCTGTTGTTGCTTCTGCTGTTGTTGCTGCTGTGGCTGCTGCTGTTGCTGCTGTTGTTGCTGCTGTTGCTGCTGCTGCTGTTGTTGTTGTTGTTGCTGCTGTTGCTGCTGCTGCTGTTGCTGCTGTTGTTGTTGCTGCTGCTGTTGCTGCTGCTGCTACTACTTGTTGCTGCTACTTTGGCTGTTGCTGCTGCTGCTACTACTCTTGCTGTTGTTGCTGTTGCTGCTGCTGTTGTTGCTGTTGCTGCTACTACTCTTGCTGCTGCTGTTGATGCTGCTGCTGTTGATGCTGCTGCTGTTGCTGCTGCTACTACTCTTGCTGCTGCTGTTGCTGCTGCTACTACTCTTGCTGCTGCTGTTGATGCTGCTGCTGTTGCTGCTGCTACTACTCTTGCTGCTGCTGTTGCTGCTGCTACTACTCCTGCTGCTGCTGCTGTTGCTGCTGCTGCTACTACTCTTTCTGCTGTTGCTGCTGCGAGGATGACCACCGGAGTTTGCGCGACACGGGGTTTCACGCTCCTTGACGGAGATCGTCAGCGAGGCGTCGTGGTCCGTGTGCGTCGACGACGACGACCTCACCTTGTCGTCGTTGTGCGTGTGTGTGCAGGTGATAGCGGCCCGCTTGCTGCAGTCCAAGCAGACCATCCCGCACTACTACCTGTCCGTGGACGTGACGATGGACGAGGTGATCGGCTTGCGCAAGGAGCTGAACGAGGTGAGGAGGCCGTCCGTGTCGAGCTCACGAGTTCGCGTCGTCCGTGTCAATGTGACGACCCGCTCGCACGCTCACTCGCACGCCCGCTCACTCGCACGCACACTCGCACGCTCACTCGCACGCTCACTCGCCCGCTCACTCGCACGCTCACTCGCCCGCTCACTCGCACGCTCACTCGCACGCTCACTCGCACGCTCACTCGCCGCTCACTCGCACGCTCACTCGCCCGCTCACTCGCACGCTCACTCGCCCGCTCACTCGCACGCTCAATCGCACGCTCACTCGCCCGCTCACTCGCACGCTCACTCGCCGCTCACTCGCACGCTCACTCGCCCGCTCACTCGCACGCTCACTCGCCCGCTCACTCGCACGCTCACTCGCCCGCTCACTCGCACGCTCACTCGCCCGCTCACTCGCCCGCTCACTCGCACGCTCACTCGCCCGCTCACTCGCCCGCTCACTCGCCCGCTCACTCGCCCGCTCACTCGCCCGCTCACTCGCACGCTCACTCGCCCGCTCACGCCCGCTCACTCGCACGCTCACTCGCCCGCTCACTCGCCCGCTCACTCGCACGCTCACTCGCCCGCTCACTCGCCCGCTCACTCGCCCGCTCACTCGCCCGCTCACTCGCACGCTCACTCGCCCGCTCGCTCGCCCGCTCGCTCGCACGCTCACTCGCTCGCACGCTCACTCGCCGCTCACTCGCCCGCTCACTCGCCGCTCACTCGCGCGCTCACTCGCCCGCTCACTCGCGCGCTCACTCGCCCGCTCACTCGCCCGCTCACTCGCCGCTCACGCGCGCGCTCACTCGCGCGTCACTCGCCCGCTCACTCGCGCGCACTCGCCGCTCACTCGCCGCTCACTCGCCCGCTCACTCGCCCGCTCACTCGCGCGCTCACTCGCGCGTCACTCGCCCGCTCACTCGCCCGCTCACTCGCCCGCTCACTCGCGCGCTCACTCGCGCGCTCACTCGCCCGCTCACTCGCGCGCTCACTCGCCCGCTCACTCGCGCGCTCACTCG